ACATAGCACGACTGGGCCATGGTGACATAAGCAGTCATTCAGAACCCAGAAGATCACACCACCCACTACCCACCACGCACAGTGTAATATATATAACACACTGTTTTTCAATTACAATGTCATGAACACTTCAAAATCCTTTGAAAATAATTCCTCTTAAAAAACTTACAATTTATAGACTCTGAAATAATGATATACCCTATTTTGAAAAGATCCTCAGGTTATCATGAAAGATACCATTAGCTAAAAACCACTGTCTAGCTGCAAGACAGTCTGTCTTTCTACACTGGCCACGTCTGTGCCTTCCAAACATACACATACCCTCCAAAGCAAGCACTCTGATAGGAAAGAAAAATACTACAGAGAAAAGTCTACCAGAAGAGAAGTCACAGGACCTCCATTCCAGTCCTGGCTGGTCCCCTTTTTAGTCATCTGACTCAGAACTAAAGTTTTTCATCTGATTGCTATACAAATCAAATGGCACACTCTGTGTAAAGGAGTTCTACTTTTGTGGGGTTTTTTAATTTTTTTCTTTATTAATGTAGGCATTCAAATAATTGTTAGCTGATTCTAGAATACTTGAAAACAGCTTGTTCTCAATTTTTTTTTAAGCGAATCTGTTCTTCTTAGAGTCCAAAGGGTCATTTCTAGTTCATGGCAAAATTATAACTGCATCAGTGCACTCAAAGCAAAAAAAGGAGATGGTGTGCAACATAGGTCTGTAAATGCCAAAGGGCCAAAATAATCAGAATCATAAGCAGGCATCCTAAACCAAGTAAATTTTGAGACATATTTGGGAAAATAAAAAGCAAGGATCCTCATGGTGCAACACAAAAATGTAGGATATGGGGCACCTGGGTGGCTCAGCTGGTTAAACATCTGACTCTTGATTTTGGCTCAGGTCATGATCTCAGGGTTGTGAGATGGAGCCCAAATACATCTGACTCCACACTCAGTGGGGAGTTTGCTTCTCTCCCTCTCTCTGACCCTCCCCCTCACTTGTTCTCTCTCTCTCTCTTTTAAATAAATCTTTTTTTTTAAATGTAGGATAGAGTAAAATGATTAGTAGGTCTATAGCAGAAAGGCCAAGATGAGAACGTATAATCAAATATAAAATCAAAGATGGCAGAAGAATATCTGACAAGCTTAAATTTCGTAACACATCTATTAAGAACAACTTAATATTCTTGAGCCAAGAATGATATGGTGAAATGGTATTTGAGAAAAATTATGCCAGCAGCTGTGTGGAAGATGAACTGATCAGAGAGGAGTACGAGGAAAACCAGTCTAGAAGTGTTTAAGTAGTACAATTTAGGTTCTACAATAAGGTGGTAACTATGAAGATGAAAAGGGATAAACCCGGGACACCTGGGCGGCTCAGTCGGTTAAGCGTCTGCCTTCAGCTCAGGTCATGATCCCAGAGTCCTGAGATCAAGTCCCGCATCGGGATCCTTGCTCAGAGGGGAGCCTGTTTCTCCCTCTGCCTCTGCCCCTCCCCCTGCTTGTGCTCGCTCACGTGCTCTCTCTCTGACAAATAAAATCTTTAAAAAAAAAAAAAAAGCAAGAAAAGGGATAAATCTGATAGACACTGCAGAGAGTCAGTCACCCTTGGTGATAGGTTGGTTGAATTAGGGAGGTGGTGAAAGATTTGAAAATGATTTCAAGGACCTGGTCATGGGTGGCCTACAGCATAACCACACCTGCGCAATGCTAACAGTTCTTGCACTGGCTTTTCCAGACTGCATCTGAACCTGTTTAGCTCTATTCCCCATTCCCTCAATGAGACACTGCTCCACTTTAGATGGAAACAAAAAACTACCACCACTATGATAGTGTGGAAGTACCCCATAACCTAAGGTTCCAGACTTCTTAATGGATGAAGCCTACTCTTCTAAGCTAGGAAACTTCCTCCCCACCTACACAGCTGGGGAAAGGGGAATTTCTTCTATGCCCCAAATTGTCTCTATACACTTGAAGTCCAAGCTCACTCTATATGGATCTTTAGGTCACATGGACACAAAACACAGATGACACCATTGATAGGGTCATGTGTAACAATATAAGTCAGGCAAATTATATCCTTAAAGGTTCATCCTAAATTGAAACAAAGACAAGTTGATTACATTTAAAAATTAAAATCAGCAAAAGGCAATCTTATGGGGTTATTTTTAATGTATCATAATGATAAATTCTGTTCCAGAATACACTGTGCCACATAATGATTCTGCAGTTTTGCTGGAGCTTTTCTTATTTCTGCAGCTTTAAAAACATGTTGTTGGAAAGCAGACAGCAAAGTGTTTTCCTTGTCTAAAAAGCATACCATTATGCTATTTCCTATTTTATCATGCATAAGTTACCAATAACATTGTGCATTTAATCCAGATCTTATTGCCTACTGTGCTTTCGAAGGAGAACACTGTGTAAATTTAATACAGAGAAGGAACTCATGTTGATCCATGGGAGTCTGTCTATGGGTAAAAAGAAGCTCTATGGCTTAGTTCGAATTAGCTATACTAACAGCATCCATTCTCCAAAAGCACTGATCCGTCCAAGCTCATTCAGAAAACGTCTTTTTCATGGAGATTTGAAAGAGATTCTAACACGTTATCGTTTACACACACTTTACTCGCACAAGCAACAACAACAACAAAACAGTTATAAAATGTTCGCATTGCCTTAGTTTAAAAACAAATAAACCAGCCTACCTTGCAAACGGATTAACTATTACCTAGGAAGGTTACCAAACTGATCTCGGGATAAATAGCTTTCCAGGCCACTGTCACTCTAACCCTTCCATTTAGATTTTTCGGGGGCAAAGAATGAAATTTTCTATTTCCTTGTTGGAATTAAGATTCTGCATCAGGAGATATGGAAGGTCGGGTGGTAACGGATTTAAAGCCACAGGCTCCGGCGCTCTTCTCTGCCCTAACTCGGCGGGCAGGGGGAGCCAGGTGCAGCATCGCCTCCATGCTCCGAGACAAGACCAAGTCTTCGCCTCCACGCCGAGAGCAGGTGCGAAACGGACGCTCAGGTTTCGGCGACTGCAACCATCTTCCTCCACCGCAGACCTGAGGCCGCCCTACGAGAGGAACCTTCTAGTCCAGTCACCCCCGGGGGCCCGTTTGCTGAGGGCGGACAGTGCGGTGGATTCCTAATCCTTTTCCCTGATGGGTAATTTCCTACACCAGCCGCAGCACTCACAGTCCCACGCCCGCCCCCCGAAATTGAGCTGCAAAGGGGCGCAGGTGGGGCCCACTCGCACCTCACAGCCTCCCTGGAGAGGCGTGGGCCGGGACGGGGATCTCGGCTCGGCCCCCGGTCTCTCCCCCTCGAGCTCCCGGACGCCGCTCACCGTGAAGGGGACATCCCCGACGCTGCCCACGGAGTAGCAGTTGTCTCCAGGGTTGACAGCCCCGGTGAGGACCTGATGCAGATGCATCTCCGGAGCCCGGGCTGGCAAGAGACTGCGCGAAAGGAGCGACGAGCCCCGCGCCCGACCGCTTCCCCCTCCGCCTCCCTCGGGACCCACCCCGCGGCGGCTCCGGCTTAACGCCTCGCCCCCCTCTTGCCTTCCCCCTTCCTCGTCCCTGCCATGGGAGCTCCTCGACCGCTGCCGCCGCCCGGATCGCCGCTCGGCTGCGGAAATGCCCGGATGCTCCCACTGCCTGCTGCACCGGCGCACAAATGCGGGAGGAGCGCAAGGGTGCGTGTGAGGCGGAGGGGCGGGGGGGGGCTCCGGGGCGAGGGGGCGCCGGGGAAGCGCGTGAGCCGGGAGCGTGCTGGAAAGGACGCTCCGCCCGAGGGAGAAGGGCGGTGCGCGCGCCCACCCTCGAGAGAGCTACAGTAGAGTGAGGGGGTAAACCCCTCCTCCAGCTGCTAGGCTCTTAGCTCAGTCCTGCTCCCCGCCCCGCGTTTGCGCGTGCGCGCGCAGTGGTTTCCAGGGCAATTGCGCGCGCCGCGTGGACCCTTGTCCCGGGATTGCGCGCGCAGACGTGCGGGAGTTCCCTCGGAGCCTCCCGGCTGCGGCCAGTGGGGGCGGGGCGCAGCTGAGGCCTCTCCGGGGCACGCAGCAGTCCTTCTCTGGCGGCGGGCCTCGGTTCTGTCTTAATGAGTGTTTAATCCACTCCCGAGTACACTGTGTGATGGTCAGGGCAGTCGACCTCCGGAGGACGCCAGTCACCGGGAAATTCCACCTCGGAAAATCTTAGATCCCGTAGGGCTTTTTAATTTTACATAAGGCATTTAAGGTACGTAAGGTATTTAATTTTACATAAACAATAAAGGCATCTGGCAACTATTTGGGGAAGCCGTACTCCCCTGACAGCAAATTATTTTGCTCCCACCTTTTGTCACGGATGTTCTAGATAGCAAAAGGGCCCCCTAGAGACAGGTGACTCCTCTAGACTCTTTCATGCGTGATGTCATGGATTCGCAGAATCGTCTGATTTTTCCAGACCGTACGCTAAACTTTCGGTGGTGGATAGAGGACTCAGATCCCTGCTCCAGGTAAATCCATCACCAGTTTTTGAACCTACACTGTGTATAAGTCACTAGGGCGAGGGAGTAGAAGGGATTCCAAGACACAACCATCTAAAATACTAGGCAGAACGCTAAAAGTATTGTGATTGAGACACAAAAGTCTATGCACTATTGAAGGGTACTTTTGACTAATGGGATGGATGGGTAAAGTGTAATGGAGCCGATGACATAAACTCAGGGTAAAATTTTGGCAGGTTGGGATGGACAAGAAACTGCATTCAAATAGAGAAAATAACATGAGCTGAGGCTTAGAGGTATAAAATGACAGGATATGTCAGGGAACAAAGATTAGATTAATGTTTGGAGCAGATGATATGTAGGATGGGGAAAGGAAAAGATACTTAGCAAGGTAAAGGTATCCAAGAGATAGCTTGTGGCCTGGCCTGAACAGGGGGAGTCTTGAATGCTCCCTTAAGAAGCTTAGATTTCACTCTTTTCCGGTTACTTCGGGGAGAAGAACCATGAGCAGCAAAGTCTCCCGGGACACCCTCTACGAGGCGGTGGGGGAAGTCCTGCATGGGAACCAGAAACTCAACAAGAATAAGAAATTAGTCAAGAAGCTGGCCAAGAAGTATGATGCCTTTTTGGCTTCAGAATCTCTGATCAAGCAGATCCCACGAATCCTGGGCCCAAGCCTGAATAAGGCTGGCAAGTTCCCTTCCTTGCTGACCCACAATGAGAACATGGTGGCCAAAGTGGATGAAGTGAAGTCCACCATCAAATTCCAGATGAAGAAGGTGCTGTGTCTGGCAGAGACTGTTGGCCGTGTGAAGATGACAGATGACCAGCTTGTGTACAACATCCACTTAGCAGTCAATTTCCTGGTGTCCTTGCTCAAAAAGAACTGGCAGAATGTCCGGGCTTTCTACATCAAGAGCACCATGGGCAAGCCCCAGTGCCTGTACAAAGGCACAGCTCAATAAATCATAGTGCTGATGGGTAGTCATGTTCTCCATACTGCAAACCCCAGAGTACATTCTGTCTACCTTCAAAAAAAAAAAAAAAAAAAGAAGCAGTTTAGATTTCATTCTGCATGCAGTGGGGACTTCAGCAAATGTTTCCGAGCAGAAATTTCTACAATCAGAGCTGCTTCAAGAAGATGACTTTGTAGCACTGTGAAGGATAATTAGAAGGGTAGGGAGATAGGAGGCAAAGGCCTGGCAGAGATTGGTAGTATGTTCAGTGGAAAAAGAGGAGTCAAAGATAATTCCCAACAACCCAGGACATTTTCCTTTTCCTTTCCGTTTAGTGCCATAACTTCCCCCCAGTCACCCAGACTAGAAACGCAGAGCCACTTTTGGCTCCTTCCTCTCCTGCCCAAATCTAAGGGTCCCTTATAAAGATCCCTAATTCATGACCCTGAGCATTCCCGCCCCCCCCCCAGCTATTTACTTTCATTTCAGACCTCATCAATTCTCATTTAATTACCATGATGGCTTCCTAACTAGTTTGACTGCCTTCCATCTCTTTGCTCTCCAACACACTGCAGCCAGAGAAACCTTTTTTTTTTTAAAGATTTTATTTATTTATTTGAGAGAGAGAGAATGAGAGACAGAGCATGAGAGGGAGAAGGGTCAGAGGGAGAAGCAGACTCCCTGCTGAGCAGGGAGCCCGATGCGGGAC